TTTTGCCAATCGGCGTAACGTACCACATAAGCTGCCAGACAACACATGTACTATCCTTACGGTTTCTAGACAGGCGAGGGAAGCACTCCCAACGTCAACGCCAGTCTATCTCGACAAGTAATTAAACTCAAAAGGTAAGAGCTTCCCGCTCTAACTGCCACCCTAACGGGTCATGGTCCATACAATAAACACCTTTTCAATTTAGGTATCACAGACAGCGCTTTACGCAGAGCGTGCATGAAGGGGGAGAAAATGGCTGCGCACACTCTACTACAGTGCTCCGGCGTGGCCAACTACAGGGCGGAGTACCTTGGAGTGCCGAGGTCGCTCACCGAAGTCTTCAGGAAACTGAGGAGGTTGTTAAGATTTCTGGAGAAGTTTTGGTTGCACGAGTAGGACCCTGCACCCACTACACGCAAAATGGGCGCCTTGACGTTGAGTTGAGGACACCAGCCTGTTACACCAACCAAGGTGCTAGATATACAGTAATGGAATGGTACGTGGTGCGTGAAGGCTCCTTCCTAGCACCTCTACATATTTATTGACATCATATTAAAGTTGCTATGGTGTGATTGCCAGAGCAAACCTGTCTATGACCGTCTGATATTTCTGTTACCGCAAATGTAAAATTATTTTTACAAATACAGCATCATCATTAATATAAAGGCAAGGCAAATGAAATCAAGAAGAAGTTGTATGAAATCATTTTTCAAGTTCGGTCGCGTATAAGGAGTACGGTTGTTACTTCTGAGACGGCTCTGCCCGATACCAGTTTGGATCGGTGGAGCGAAAATCAAGGAGACTAATTCGAATTGAAGCTTCTAAGTCTCGATCATCGCAGTGACTTGCTTGTCGGTTTTCTATCGGATAAATTCTACAGGATATATCACGTAGTGTTCGACGTAATTGCATGAAATAATTCCGCCATTCTCTTTCCGTCATCGGGTGACTATATGTAGACTGGGGTTCCAGCCTTATGTTGTCGATATATCTATCTAAGATTCGCACGAAGCGTTACGTTTCTTCCTCAGTTTTAGTAGCAGTAGAGCTCCTCGAGAAATAGTTCGTCCAGGGAAGTACTGCCACCATACCTATGTCTGCCGTCAAGCAGTAATGTGAGCATTACTGCGTTAATTTAAATGTAGTTTATTTTTATGTTTAATTATTTTATTTTTAATTAGTTTGTTTTTTATTTAATTGTATTGTATTTGTTTTCTTTTTTGGTGTACAATAAAGAATGTTTGTATTGTATTGTATTCTAGTTTAATGTAAATTATTACGTGCTGGTAAAATTACAGGCACCTGGGACTTGTCAACTTATGTCTCAGGGTGACGAGCGCAGTGGCAGTGTCCCTTAGATCTTTGCGATTTAAACCCCTGAGTGGCACTGCAATTGTTATGGAGGCGCGTTGCTTACCACCAGGTGCAGGACTTATTGGTCCCGTCACTTGGTGTAAATAACTGTTCTATTCGAAAGAACACAACATGAGTGTCTTTAAATCATCGACTTACCACCCAATCGCACTTAACGTTTTACTTCATATTTCCTGTGCATCAGTATGGTAAGACAATGGCGACTATGTTTCCCGAAAATTAGAGCCTTATTCAATACTAGATAAAAGCTTAACGTCACCGCCAGTTACATTGTCGTTTAAACTCAGGTGTTAAAGTGAGAAACCGTTTATCTGTTTAAAATAAAATAACAGTTTAATAAAAATAACAAATGATTCACATCAATTCTCTTAAGTGTTCAAATAAGTGCCAAGTTGTACTAAATAATCAGACCTTGCGTTTCAATTTTGAACGGTTATATTTGCACGTATTTCCTGAAGCAAGGCTCACATCAAAAGGTGTTATCCGGGCTAACGGTTCATGGGGCAAGGGTTTAAAGAGTGTTCTGTCTACGTTTCACGGAGCGTGTAGAAACTGAAGATACGATGCCGATGGAGAATTATGGAGATGGTTTTGTAGTAACAATCATAATAACGTCTCATCATTGTCAACTGTATAAGACGACACACAGTCATATGATTTTACTTATGGAAAGTGGTTATCCCTTCGTTATAGTTAGCAGATTAATTTATAAATACCGTATCTATTTATTCGAGGGTCAAAGGTAAACATCCTAAAAGTTTACCATGACAATAGATCCTGATCTATCAGGCCTGCCAGATGGCAGCTCTACCTTTTGCGGCAATATTTAACGTGTGAATGACAAGTCTATGCTTAACTTCTTGCCTTTTGGTACATTTAATAAAATCTACATTTGTAGTAAGTAAGGAAATAAATTCAATATTTTTTTTATAATATCAAGTGACGGGACGAACAAGTCGTGTGTCTGGTGGTAAGCGACACGCCTGTCCATAACAGTTGCAATGTCACTCAAAGCTTTAAAACGCAAACATCACTCTGAGACATAAGTTGACAAGTCCCACGTGCCTGTAATTTCGTCATCGTTCGTCGATACGGAGTGTCGTTCAAATAAGTGCTTGGCGGCAGAAATAGGTACGGTGGCAGTACTTCCCTTTACGAATTATTTCACAAGAGCTCTACTACTACTAAATTTTCTCCATTAGTCATTTGTATAGGATAATTTGTAAAAGTTGAACTTACCTCAGCGTCCGACACCCTGAGATATAAGTTGACAAGTCCCATGTGCTTGTAATTTCACCAGCACCCTTTCAAACCGGAACGTAGTTATGCTCACATTACTACTAGGCGGCACAAATAGATAAGGTCGCAGTACCTCCCTTATTAATTTTAAATCATCTCAGTTGTGTGTTGTGTTGTCAATGGCAGGATTCCATACGCTCGGTATTCGGTTAAGAGTAGTGGCTTTTCAGTGGCTAGCCATCGACTGTCATTGCATTTTTTTGTTTTTTTTTATTCTAGTGTAAGTGTGCATTTGACCTCCACGATTTTTTTGATCTCACCTGATGGAAAGTGACGATGAGGTCGACGATGGAGCATGCATACCTAGATAATGCCTATTCACTCTCGCCTTGAAAAGGTCCAAGTTATAACGTTCAGGGAACAAGCCTACAGGCAGAGAATTCCACTCCATAGCCGTTCGCCATATAAACGTGAAAACGTAACGCTTCTTGCGAATCTTTGGAATATCCACAATATAGGGGTGGAAGCCAAGCCTACGCCTAGTTTCCCGATGCTGGAAAGGGGAAGTCGGAATTAAATCGTGTAATTCCATCGCACACTCTCCGTGATATATCCTGCAAAATACCGATGAGCAGGCAACTTTACGGCGGTGTTCAAGGCTCTGCAGCTTCGCCTCTACTAATTCCGAGTCACCTATAAGCCTCTTGCCACGCTTGCCAATTGAATCCAAGGTGGCCAGTTGGTATGTAGCAGAGCCATCCCAAAGGTGGCGACAGTACTCCATACACGACCGGACTTGTGCACAGCGGAAGCAAGTGTCCCGGTGTGAAGTAACGTCTCACCCTGGAAAGGATGCCAAGCTTCCTGGCTGCATTTTTGGCCAAGGATTCAATGTATCTGCCGAAGTTCAGATTGAACGACAGGTCCATTCCAAGTAGCTGGAAACCGTCGGCTATCGGTATGGATATATCATGAAAAGTCGGAGTGAGCCCAAAGGGACTCCGTTTAGTGGAGAATAGACACGACTGGGCTTTGGTAGCGTTAAATTTGACAAAATTGGCATCGCCCCAATCGGAGACTGCCTTGAGCGTTAAATCTAAACGGCAAACCATGGACTCTCGACAAGACTGGATTTCCTCTCCACCGACCCTTGCATTAGTCAAGTATCTATCTACAACTGTGGTGTCATCAGCATACGCAAAGGTACCTGGAATTAACATATCATTGATATGCAGCAGAAAGCGAGTTGCAGACAGTACGGAACCCTGAGGAACTCCGGCAATCTATCGCCATATGTTCGGAAAAGTAGCCTTCTAAGACCACTTGAATGGAACGTTCACTCAAGAAATCCGAGATCCAACTGCAAAGGTCAGTGGAAAGCCCATAACATGGAAGCTTGCTTAAAAGGCTTGCGTGCCAAACCCTGTCAAAAGCTTTAGAAATGTCCAAAGACACTGCAAGTGCTTCGCCTTGCTTTTCTATAGCCTCGCTCCATATGTGACATTGGTATTTTGCTATTCAGTGGCGAGTTGATGACACATTGATGGTGTTGTGTACTAATATCATATCTATTTAATTGAAACTAAATTGCTTATTAAATGAGATACGCAAATAAATTTCCATTATACGTTTAGTAAGGCAACATCAATTAATGTGTGATTGAATGAATAAATGCCATCAGTGCCTTTGCACATTCTATTGAGACTCAACCGCCATTGCAACTAGATTTTACTGCCTTCGTGGCTGAACGATCACCATGCTGGGCTGCCGCGCAGAGGTCCTGCGGTCGATTCCTAGGCCGGGAGAAATATGTGTATGGCCTACATTTTATTTCTCTTGTGAGTTTGTGTGTAATTTGTGTGTCCATGGCACCCGCGACACAGGGTTTCCCTAGTAGTACTAGTAGCAGGGCTATTGAGTGTGTTGCGTTTTTAATAGTGCGTGTATTGAGCATGCTCAATGTGTGTGTTTATACCGATATAATACAAATATTGTCTCTTCTTTCTTTGTTTTCCTCTTAAGCCACGAAGTACGTCTTATTGCAGGTGGTCGCTTTCCCTGTATATTTCCTTGCATAATTAGTCGAAGTAAGTCATATTTATCAATACGCGTAATTTGCCAAAGTACTGAAGTTTGTGTTTTCTGACAGTACTCAAGACCTCTAATTTCTTATTCACCATCTGCAATACGCTTTCATTGGAGACTTTAACTTTATTTAAAATTCTTTTGTACACCCACATTGCAAAGGCTTCTAAGCGGTTGCTCAAATTTTCCGTACGTACCTAAGCAAAAAAAAGAATACACGGATATATCTATTGCTATTTATACAGGTGGAACTGAAATAAAAATTCAGAGCCATAATTAATTTGTTTCTTTTTATTATACTGCAACAACAATGGGTATAATTTACAGCTAAATGCCAAATTTTCAAAATACAATTTTTTTAAATGCTCGATTTTGTTAAAAAGTTTGTAGTAACCAGGCGACGTCTTCAACAATCTACCAAATCCGGAAAATTGCAATACTTGTGTGTATTATCCCAATGTAGACCATCAGGGCACTTGAATAACGTTGGAATTAGTTCCCCGTTAACTCCCGTTACGCATAAGTAAAAGATTGAACAGTCTACTGGGCTCGAAGTGAAACCTTCCGACTTGCAGATTGAATCTTCTGGAATTTCAGTGACGGGTGGTTCTGAAATTTTAAAATGTAAATTTTGTTTGTTATCGAGTTCTTAGCTTTTCGTGATTGTAACACATAGGAAATGAAACAATTTTTCGGGCTTCAAATCGCGTATATTTGTTTTTTCAAATAAACCAACGTTTTGGGCCCTTTACAGGTCCCATGGTCACGGTTGTTAACCAACAAGGTAATCAAGTCAATTTATTTGAAAAAACAAATATACGCGATTTAAATCCGGAAAAATAGTTTCATTTCCTTTTGTTTATTATGTTCTTAAACACACGCATAAAGCTAAAGAGTCATATTTCTTCGACGTTATATATAGGGCTATGAGCGCCACGGCTATGAGACACGGAAGGACAACATTACCTACGTTGCTCTGAACTCAAAGTAAGTACCTAACTAAAGCACTTGTGTTTTGGAAATCGGAAGCAACGACGGTGTCACAAACACCCAGACCGGAGACAATATAGAAAAGTTAGTTTCTCCATCGACCCGGCCGGGGATTTAAGCCGAGGCGTCAAAGATGACACTATGAAAACCACATGAAAACCGTCGTATAAACCACTCGATTACAGACGTCGTCTAAATATTGTACCTACATAGCGATTTCTTAGGTTTTCGCTATTGTTACACATAGGAATATAAATAGGAATGATACTATTTTTAACCGACTTAATTTCCGCTCTCAATTCGACAGTGTTTTTTTTGTATGTTACGCCGTTACTCTGGCGTTTGTGAACAGATTTGGATGATTCTTTTTGTTTGACAGAAGGTACCCCAGTATACAGTACCATTGAAATTTGAAGAAAATATTCACCTGTAAAGGTGTCAAACTAGGGAATGAAATCGGTTTCGCGCACTTTCCGGTAATCGATTTCAATAAAACTTGGCAAATAGATTATAATTCCTCGAACTTTTGAGGGCTTTTTTTAATAAAAAATTTAATTATTTCGGATAAAATCACGTGTATTTATTTCAAACAAATTAACATTTCGAGAACACTAGTGATTATGATAGCCGTAAAGGGCCAGAAACGTAGGTTTGTTTGAGAAAACAAATATTCGCGATTTAGATCCGACAAAATAGTTCCATTTACTATTGTAGATAGGATATCTTACTTCATGGAGACATTATGTTATTTTTAGAAGTAATACTGCATTTAAAGACTTTTTTAAAGTTCCTTGCTTCATCTGGTAATCGCACTTATGAAAATGTTAAAAAAACACCCCATATTTTTACGAAAGGGTCAAAGTCACAACGTCCCAGCTGTGAGACGCCGTGTACAATAAAAGAAAAAATACAGTAGACCACAGAAATATTTTTGTAAAATTGAGAAAAAAAACTATTAAGTTTTCGCAAGGGAGCCACCACACACTGTAACGCGGAATCGGCTTGAGTCAGTCAGAAAAAGATGTTGCGCGTTTTGCTTCCTCTCGCATCGTCCACGCGAAACGCATAATGACTTTTTCATATTTATTACACGCTTAGGCTTAATACGATTTCGTGTCGATAAGTACCACACTTGTCTACACGAAATCGTATTAAGACTTCTTAAATCAAATTTGTAATAAAATACCAATTGGAATAATATTTAAAATGACTTAATAGAATAGGAATTTGTACTGCAGTTATTGAATATTTTTTGTAATAATAATAATAACGTACACGCCCATAGTCCCGCAATAGGGAAACCATAGAAAAAAAAACCGGGTAAATATTACATAACTACATAGTACACCCAAACTCACGAGAGAAATAAATGTAGGTCATACAAATATTTATCCCGGCCCGAACCCAGAATCGAACCCGGGACCTCTGCGTGACAGTCCAGCATGATAACCGTTCGGCCATGGAGGCAGTTTATAATGCTTTAATGACTACAAAAATTACCTGTCGTAGTTGTAGGTGCAGCTGATTCAGTAGAGCTGGATGCGGAAGTAGTAGCTTCAGTAGTAACATTACTAGGAACAGGTGTAGATGTACTTTCAGAAACATTTTTGTTTCTTAAGACCCTATTAATAGTTCTTAGCATAGGGAAGTCTTCACCACACTGACCATGAAAATCATCAGTTTCAATACTCCACAACATAATTCCACCTAAGTTCAGTGACAGGGCATATTCCACCTTCTTGGTTATGGAACTGGGGTTGTCAAAAGACACCCAGTTGTGACCTTGAACGGCGTATGGTACTTTGGCTTCTTCGTCGTAACGAACTTCCCAGGATTGAGTGCGGAGAAAGTGGCAGAACTAAAATAGAAAATTGTTACTGTACAATAAAGATCGCGGAATTTTTTCTTCCTCTTTTTCTGTATTGTGCCCTTTTTAAGATATAGCAGATTTAAAAATATTCCTCTTAGTAATTTAAGGGCTTTTGTAGACTGCTATATGCAAGGTTTGCAGAGGTTGATGAGTTATTATTATTGACTAACAGCCATTTCCGTTTCATGATTAATAAATTAGCAACATCACACAGGTATGAATGATAGAGACGACTCTCTACAAAGCCGAAGGTATCAGATTGAATTTTTCTAAGGGAGTCACCACACATATCGACAGTGAATCGCATTAAGCCGGTCAGAAAAACGTTATGTCCGTGTAATAAGAGCGAAAAAGACTTTGTGCGTTTCACATCGGCGATCCTTGCATGCGTGGATATAAAGCTTTTTCTGATCGGCTCAAGCCGATTTCGTATTAATTATTGGTGTAGTGACTCTCTAAAGCCTGATGTGTAACATACGGCCTGGTATAGAAATTATTAGTAAATTAATTTGTAACATAGCCAGGTTTGTTACCTTTTATGAGAAGTTTATTGCCATGAAGGAACGAAAATGTGTGATGTTAAAATTTGAAGATACGTGTTACATACTCGTACTGCGACAAAATTACGAACTTTGAATAAAAAAACAATAGGCAGTTATATATCGTCGAAAAAGGCTATTGTCATATTAAAAAATCAAGTATGCATGGTTCTTAGGAAGTAAATGTAAAGTTTTTCAAAAGATTTCCAACGTATAGCAAACAAAATAACTAAATTTAGCGTTGTACAAAGAAAGAAACTAAAGTATGTAGATTACTGTAAACAGTTCCAAGTTAAAGTTGAAACTCAACGATCCGGAAATACAAAGTCGCACTCGTAACAAAGTAAAAGACTTTATCTCTAAGAAACTAGTAAGAAACCCTCTCAAAAATGTCAAGACACACAAAAGAAATATCCCGCTTCTATAACGTACTGGGAATTTAAACTAACACAGAATTTAATTTAGAAATCCACCGCTGTGAAGGCAAAGTTCCTACTTTCAGCTAACTTTGGTGTCAGTGGCTACGATGGTTAACTCAAACATAACTTGCTATAACTTTTCGCCTCACTCCATTAAGATTAGTCCGGCTTTTGAGCTGAATGTTTTATGTGGTTATATTCTATTCGTTTAAAATAATTATGTGTTCAGTTCTGTTTAAATTTTCGCTATGGATATGAAACTATTTTTTCGGACCTAAAGTCATATAGGTACAGCCGATGCTCTATGATTCTTGACCTCTAGATAAGTATTAAATAAACTTAACCTTAAAATGTGAGCCGTATAATTCAGAAGCAGTAGAGATCCTTGTGAAAGAGTTCGTCCAGGGTAGTACTACGACCTTACCTATTTCTGCCGCCAAGCAGTAATGTCAGCATTACTGTGTTACGGTTTTGAAGAGTAAACGTGCTAGTGAAATTACACGCTCATGAGACTTATCAACTTATGTCTCAGGGTGACGGGCGCAGTAGCACTGCCCCTCAGATCTTTGCGACTTAAAGCTCTGAGTGGCACTGCAATTGTTATGGACAGGCGTGTAGCTTACCATCAGGCGCACGACTTGTTGGTTCCGTCCTTGATATTATTATAAAAAAAATCTTTTTGATATGATTTCCTTGTAGCATGCATGAATGGTGTTTTAAGAAGCTTGCTAAGCTAATTTGATTTTTGACGTAAATACTGAATATAAAGAATAATGGCGAACTTTCATATACATTTTTGTTGACATAATTTGTAGGCGTCTGTTTATGAAAATTATGTGATTTAGTGATAGTTTAAATTTCTGAACGTAATAAAAATATAATAAAATAGGTTTTTTGGTTTACTATTCTGAGATGTCTGGATTAAAGTTATTCTAGTTTGAAGTTTTGAATGTTATGTTTTACACATGTTTTGCATAATTGAATAAAATACATTCGATGTATTATTACATGAAAATAAGATGTTGTTTGATGATTTTTACCTCATTGTAGCCAATGTGTCCTCTCTGCTGAGTGTAGGGTCCACTAATACCAGCTCCTGAACTTGGTGCTCTAACTCCATTCACATTGGCATTGACCAAATCAAACGTCCTACCGTACGCTGGTACTCCCAAGACCAACTTTTCTGGTGGAGCTCCTGAAATAAATTTTGTAGGACTACTTTAGACTTCGAAAGGGAAAATATCCAACATTAGCCAGTGCGTGGAAAACAAAACAGACGCAACTTAGATTATGACTGAAAAATCTTAAAGACTGGTTTGGATAGCGCAGTAGTCCACAATTTAAAGCAAACAACCTACAGTCCTAGTGGCCGCCAATCTTCCAGGACAAACTACAAATTTTCTTGAAAACACTGGTCATTGTAATTCCATTAAGCCCTACTAAGATTGTATTTATTATCATAATATTTGTTATTCTGCTGAAATCTAGTTGCAATGGCTGTTGAGTCTCAATAGAGTGTCCGTGGAATGGCAGTGATGGTATTCATTCATACCTTACTAAAAGTACCATGGAAATTACAATGCATATTTTAATTTTTATCTCTTTTAATCTGTAATTTAGTTTTCATATTAAATATAATATAACATTTGTTCAGTTACGCCATAGGCGTGCCATCGGCTCATTATTGAAGAGCAGAACATCATATAACAGCAAAAGCAGTTGATTAGTAAGCTCGATGGCCAGCCAAAGCCCCGTCTTTTAACTATTAGGAGAATACTAAAGTACAAAATCCTGCCATTGTCACAAACGACACTCAACTGAGATGATTAGAAATTACCAGACTTGGGGCCCTGGTGATATGTAATTATAGCATAAATAATACCTTGGGAAAGCCAATATTCCACAGCAACATCAACTGTAAGCACATTATTTTTAGGTACATTTTCGAAGCTCTCTCCCTTGTGAAGAGCCGCATTATGACCAGTCTCAGTGTTCCACGATCCGTACATGTCGTATGTCATTAGGTGAATTAGATCTAGATATCTGAAAAGATGAATGCCGTGTTAATATCTTTGACAAAAAAATTGAAGCTTATAAAATTAAATAGCAAATGCAGTAGATTTTGGGAAATAACTCCTGCCAGTCATTCTTAAGGATCTATTAAGGAGCTTACTTAGAAATAGCAGGAATATCATAAGATAAAGAAGCCGAAGTTTTATCAGCTGATAATGCTGCGGTGATCAGGAGTCCATGTGGATTAAATGCTTCTCTTAGTTCCTTTAGTAGCATAGTGAAATTGTCTATATCAGCCTCTCCATTGACAGTATCTCTACGGTTGGGATATTCCCAGTCGACATCGAATCCGTCAAATCCATGTTTGAGGACCATTTGCAGAGCGCTCGTGACAAAGTTCTTACGAAGAGCTGGATTTGCTGCCATCTGTGAAGGTAAGTTATGCCACAGAATTACACAACTTATTTTTGTACTGTAATATTGAATATCACGATGTTTTACTATTATGATATTCAATTACTTTTGTGCCTCTTGCCTCCGTGGCGTGGTCGAGCGATTTCTTTGCTGAATTGTCACCGGGCCGGTAGAAATATTTGCATGGCCTATATTTATTTCTCTCGTGACTTTGTTGAAAATTTGCATTAAACGCAGTTGTTCTTTGTATTAATAATAATAAAAAAACTTATTTTTGTGTTTTTTATACATTTTAAGAAAATTCACGATTTAATCACTTGAATATAATATCAATAGATACATACAATAACAAAATGTATATAATAACCATGATCTGCCGACCCTTGAAGCTTCCGGCCAGTCCATTAATAAGAATAAACTTTTATAGAAAGATTGAAAACTGGGACCCCCATGGACCCAGGATTTTAACTTCGATGGGAGCAAACATTTAGATGGAGCCGAGGTTTCGCTATTTTTGGCTTTTTAATATTTCCATCAGCTCAGTCCGCCCTCTTGATATTGACTTTACGAGTAGGTAAATCTTTCCGAAACAAGAGGATTTGCCATAATTGCTATTTGCAACGCTTGGCAAGCAAATTGCAAATTATATTGTAATAAGAGCGACTGTACAATGAGACTGAATTTAAAAAAATGTTTCTTATTTAAAAAATTGTTCCAATAAGAAATCGTAATAACATTTTAGATAATTATTAATACAAAGATCGAAAAATTCCTTCAATCCGGCCGGATTCGAATCGACGGTCTCCTAGCAACCCGTGCCAGACGGTATGCCAACTAAGCCACGCAACGAACCAGCGGACCTTACGAATTCTGCCGCGAATGTTCTTGTTGTCGGATCTTTGTATTTGGTTTTCAACAACTTTTTATCCGTAGCGCCATCTATGAGAAATCCATGAAAGTATTTCATCACCCAGTTGGGTATCTTTACAGCTACCAACACTGGCTAGAGTATTAATAATTATAACAAACTAGTGGAGTAATTTCACAAAAAAATAATTGAAAATCATAGTGGTGAAACATTCTGAGATTCAATAAAAATTTAACATCTTAGATGTTTAGAAGATAATTAACTACTAATAATAAAAAAATAAAAAAATAAAAAAAAAGTGGAGCTCCTTGTGAAAGAGTTCGTCCAGGGAAGTACTGCCCTGAACTGTTACTGAAGTAGCCTTACCTATTTCTGCCGCCAATCAGTGTCAATGAAATTACAGGCACATGGAACTTGTCAACTTCTGTGTCAGCGTGATGGGCGCGGTGGCAGTGTGCCCCTAAGATTTTTGCGATTGAAGGCTCTGAGTGGCATTGCAACTGTTATGGATAGGCGTGTCGCTTCCCACCAGACGAACGACTTGTTCGTCCCGTCACTTGGTATTATAAAAAAAGCAATCATATTTATACAACAGGGTCTTCATGTAATATATTCATGGGAAAATGAGAACGTGATTTTAAATGGTGGTAACCGAGAGTTCAAAGAACATTTATGTATTGCATAATCCTCCTTCGATGAATTATCGCCTTGTAGACTACGATTGAAGATTTTACAGAATAAAGAAAATAAAAGTTGCAATTGTGCTAATGATTCTTACACACTCAATCTTTGCGTTATCGATAAACAAATGCGCACCAAATGCGTTTTTGAAAATTTTGCAAGATGGCGAGGGTTGACACCAAAATTTACAAAGCCTTCCAAGTAATAAATGATATTAAAAGGTGATCAGAACATTTTGTGGAATGTGTTACAATATTATGAAAATGAAAAGGGCCTTACAATAGAATACTTCGCTGAACCTTCGTTCCATCCTCCAACGGCCAAAATGGTTTTTAAATTAGGATTTATCTTCTTTAGTGCATTGAATTTACCGAAATTATCTGCAATAAATTAACACATTACGAAAATTACTTAATTTTACATACTTATGTATCCAAAAACATCTTGCATAACTTTTTGTGACCAGAATGTTCTATTATAAAAACGACAAAGTACATTATTATGGCCTCTGTGGTAGAGTGGCTTGCACACCAGTTTTCACGGTGTCGCTGACTCTGAGGTCTCGGGTTCGATATCTATAACTAACGTTTCAATATATATGGTTTCAGGTTTGGATATTTGTGGTACCGTCGTTATACCATAACACAAGTGCTTAAACTTTGGGACCAGAGCAACATATCGATGCCTTACTTTCTCAAACTCGTATAAGAGTGATTATTCAGGAGATGGCAAATCTTTCTATTTACATTAAATTTCTTATCAAGAGCGTTAATTTGGATGCATTACTTTAAGAACAGGTAAAAACCAGTGTGTGAATATGAAGTAAATATGATGTATAATCAGCTTGCAAAATTTTGATATACAATTCATTTTTTGTATTTCAGTAACTTTATGCTTTAAGACAAGAGTTTGATATTTGATTTTTTAATAATTTAAATTTAAATTTCAACATAAGCTTTAATTCCAACTTCCCTAATGATCTTTCAAAATTTTGAAATACGCGCGGGTCACGTGAGTTGCCCTTTAAGTCGGTAAAAAATATGATTTGGTAATATTTTGTTTGTATATGCCCACAATTTAAAAACAATATAAAAGATCTTGCATTAATTTTTAGCCTTTTTCACTGTTCCACTATTCGTACAAAATTTGTTTGTAATGTAATGTAATGTAAAATGTAGCCTTTGTTTACATTTTCGGACTTTGATTACATCTCAAAGTTTAGTAGGCTCGAATCGCCGACATTGGTTATTCCGCGAGGGAAAATCGACGCTAACCAATCTAACAGGGCGCGACGGAACTAATTTGTGTTGCTGCATGATATGTGATTTTGTTTTTTTTTTTGTTACTGATGAAGGTAGGTTGAAATAAAAACTATGAAATTTTGTGCGAATTGCAAAAAAGTGTAAAATAAAAATTATAGAAAGCTATAATACCTTTTACTCTTGCTTTTACGGTGTTGACACACTGCAATCATATTTTTTTCGCTTTCTATTTCTTAAGTTTTCGCGGTTGCTACACATTGGAAATGAAACTATTTTTTTGTAACTAAATGGCATAAAAAACCAACATTTCGTGCTCTTTAAAGGACCAACTGTCAACCGTGACCATGGGACTTGTAAGAGCGATGCTACATTATGCGTTGCGTCGACGTTGCGACCCCTGGGCGGTGACGCTGCGTTGTACCGCATACAAATTAGAACTACATGCCACAAGGTGCGTAGAAACGGAGCGGTCAGGAGATAAAGCGGGGAGGGGTGCTGCGGTGTGTTAGTGGCGTTACGTTACGACACTGCATTGCTCGTGTGGCACTCGGTTCGTTGAAATCTTAGAGTTACTCGTATGGCGACACCGGTCGCGTCCGTGTGGCATCGTGATTTGTTTGAAAACAAATATAGATGATTTTAAATCCGAAAAAAAGTTTCATTTTCAAAATTAGTGCCTTCCTGAATTACATTAAACCTTATAATTTACAATTACGTTTTGAATACATGATTAAATAATGGCGTCGAAATTAATTGCAATGATGTGACTTACCTCTTCCCCAATTTTCAGGTAAATCCAACCAGGAATCAAGGGAAACAACAGTTCCCTGATTGTTAATCCCGACGAAGGTGTACACGAGGTGGGTGCAAAGATCGGTATTTATATGTTCGACGTTAAACTGACCCAGACCTAATCTGTAGGTTGCCCAGGAACCGTAGTAGCATACAACATGTTCTGAAATTAGGGGAAAGCTCTGAATTAATTGTAATTTTAATTACTAATATTTCATTAATACTAAATTGGTCCACGAAGGGAGCACCTTGGGCAACAATCGGCGAGAACCTTACGCCGATTGGCAAATCTTTCACCAAAATGCCGACGAATAAGAAGAATTCTGAATTGAAATCGTCAATCGATTCTCTCAAATTTTTGTAATGCCTTCGATTTTGTGATATAAAGTGGCGGAATGAACAAGTCGTGCACTTGGCAGTGAGCGACAAGCCTATCCATGACAGTTGCAGTACTACTAAGGTACCACTCAAAGCTATAAATCGCAAAGATTTGAGGTGCGCCATTCAGCCCGTCACCCTAAGATATAAGATGACAAGTTCCATATACCTGTAATTTCATTTAGTTCTGTCATGCGGGCCTCGCGTTATTAAATACAAGGCTCGGTCCACATGAATTTGATTGTAGAAATAAAGAAAGAATACAGGAAGGGAAAAGAGAAGATAAAGTAAAGACGTAAAGGCTGTAACAAAACATAATGATATAAAAATAGTTACAATCGTATAAAAACACTCCCTAATTAAATTAAATATAAGTTATGATAAAAGGGAACTTACCCCAAAAGGGCCTGTAATATCTAGAAGTATGCTTTATAAGCAGTTCGTTTACTTGATTTTCAATGGTACTACTAATATAATAATTTACAAGCAGTTAGTATACATGATTTAACTGGTCAGAATTTTATGTGAAGAAGTGAAATTTGGTAGAGTGGATGAAAGAGGTCGCATCGTCACAGTTCTTAATACAACGGTTTTTTTAACTTATTTTAAGACATGGGATTATTTTCTATTAATCCGAAACTTATAGCACTGTAAAAAAAGACTCATTACTGCATATGTTGTTATCATATGGATATATCACGGATGGAATTTCACCATTCCCCTCCTACCATCGGGGGACTTGACGTAGGCTGGGGTTCCACCTTTAAGTTGTCAATATACTCAAGATTCGCATGAAGTGTTACGTTATGTATGTATATGGGGGAATTTGTGTGGATTCTTAGCCTCCAGATTGGTATTGTGGTTTTGTGAACGCTATAAGTAGGGTCTTTTCAAGTCGAGAGTGAATAGGCATTATATGTATGGGTGTGCATGCTCCATCGTTGACCTCATCGTCACTTTCATGAATTAAGTCTTTGTTTTTTCTCATTTTCTTAACTTTCATTTTTACCAGCTAAGCAAGATGTCACGACCTTTTCAAGATTAAGTCGTTTTAATTGTAAAAGAAAGTTTTCTAAGTAATAAAGTCGCGTTTGTAAAAATTTAATGATGATTTTCGGGACGAAAACGTCTCAATTTAGCAATTGAGTCACTTTTTCGCCTACGGCGGTGGTGGTCTTGTCTTTGCAGATACAGATTCAATAAATGCGGCTTTGACACACCGACGCGGAAGTGAAATTTTAATTTCTCTGGTATGAATACTGGAAATTCCCTAATTTCAGAACAGCGGGGCTACTAAGTGCTCTTACCGCAATTCAGATTAAGCGTGCAACTTGAATTGTCTGTCAAATTCATAGCTGCGACCTCACAAAAACAAGGTAGGTTCAGTTATCAATTCAAAACTGTTGTATTTTCTCATAGTCAAATATTATCATGATGTGCAATTTACCGTAATAAGCCTTTCAAAAAAGGTACTCAGTGAGTTTCAACGGACTTTATAGGTAAGTGGCGGGTTTTTGTAACAGTTTTTACCCGACTGCGGGAGGGTTATGTTTTTCATGTGTATGTATGTCCATTTCTTTTTCACGCTGTACAGCCTAAACGATTTGATGGATTTTGACATAATTATGAGGTGTCGTTAGATTCGTCTTGATTGTGGGAGTGTCGTAGGCTATAAATAATCAGAACAGTGAGGGGAATATGTTTGCTTTTTCTTTCTAGCTAAATATTTTTGCAGTCGGATTTTTGTTTTTTTAAATAATTTTTAGACTTGTTACAAGATTACATTTTTAGTTTAAGTTTTATTACATTTAAGTGTTAATAAAATTGGAAATAAATTAATTTGCTACTCCGAGGACTCAGTGAAGGTTAAATCAATTAATTTTGCCACTCACATAAAGTCAATAAAATAAATAACACAAGCGCAACTATAGTCACAGACACCAAGGGGCTGTACGCGACATAAGACACGTTCGGCCGAGCATTATGCAATCAACAGCCCCTGTGGATGCCTCGTGGAGACGCGAAACACGTGTTGGGTATATTTTTGGTGATGGTGACTGTGATTGTAGTCGCGCTTGTGTTATTTATTTTATTAATTGTATGCGAAGAGAGGGTGGGAAAATTAACTGCATAAAAAAACATTGAACACAAGCGCGGCTATTTTGCACGATTTTTTTTTTTTTTTTTTTTTAAATAAATAACGCACACACTCAACATAGCCCCGCACTAGGGAAACCCTGTGTCGCGGGTGCCATGGACACACACATAGACAACCACAAATTACACCCAAACTCACGAGAGAAATAAATGTAGGCCATACAAACATTTCTCCCGGCCCGGGAATCGAACCTGGGACCTCTGCGTGGCAGTCCGGCATGGTAACCGTTCGGCCACGGAGGCAGTTTGATTGAACATTTAATGTGTTCGCGGAGTAGCAAATTAATTTACTTTCATCTTTATCAACGTGGACTTCCGCCAACTAACGCCTTAAATCTATCAATTATTTAAGTCTTAGACTTAGTCTTTCATTTTAATAGTTTAATGTAGATCGTACAGTAAGTTTTAAAAATTATACTATTTAAATTTCAGTTAAGCGTAATATTGAATAAACATTTATGAATATGAGGTGCGTTCGTGTTCTGTAATCAAATGGCAAACAAGCATAAATTATTGTGGTGAGCCACAATAATTTATGCTTGTTTGCTGCCTACATAAATATATATGTATATATAAAAAATAATGATTATAGCAAGATATGACTTGTGTAGTAATTCTTATCGGGGTGACAGAGGGAAACCAGGTTTTCAATATGGTAGACATGTGTAAGTAATGTGAGTAATATTACAAAGGTGATATCACGCGACAGGGTACTGTTATATCACGCATCACTTCGGAAAAATATGCATTACTCATAACATTACCCATTACATAGACCATATCGGGGTGCTCTGGGAGTTTCCCAAAATGAACTAAATATAGTAAATGTCTATATTAATAGCGCCACCCAGCAAATTTTCGACGTACTACTTGATCGGACATTGCTAACCGTGCCGTAGGGTTACGTAGCGCTGCTGCCAGGTGTCGCTACTAACACCCATTACGCGAAACAGTACTCGGCGTGATGCAATACTGTGATGCTATGATGCAATGTAATGCTAACATCACGCGTGATGTTCTCATTACGCGTGATGTTAGCATTACGCGTGATGTTAGCATTACGCGTGATGTTAGCATTACACATTACCCGCGTGATGCATCGCTCGGAAACAGTACTCGCGTAATGTATTACCTGAAACAGTACGCGTGATGGTGGTATTACGGAGTGATGTTTATAGTCTAAGTAATGCGAGTGACGTTGTAACGGTAACATCACGGAATGATGTTTGTTTATGAGACATCTCGTGTAATAGTAATATTATGCGTAATGCAATGTTAATGCATCTAATTTGGAATATTGTAGTAGAACGATGTTTGTATTAGCACCCAAATTATTTAATAACTTACTATGGTGGTTGGTGTGGGTTGGTGGATGGTGTAATCGAAATAAACCGTAAACAATTTAAACTGACATCAATGCTTTATTAAATATAATATTACAATATTTTGATTTTTTTACTTGGTAATCTAGAAGGAGATCGATACGCTTTTATACAATCTTGGGCCAAGATGTAAAAGTTGAAGGTGATAATAATAAATAGCTTATGTATTGTTATATCATCACTTGTCTTGTCATTGTCACCAGGCATGCTAACCAAAAAAATTACGTGTTTTCTTGTTACAATAAAGTATGAATGTAAATTGTAAATCTTTCCGGGGTTCTCAGTTAATCTCACTCAGTGTTGGGTCATGGAAAAATTTCCATTAAAAAAATCATATGTATTTTTCAGAAAAATAAATGATTTCCGGAAATGTTTGCAATATTTTTCCTCTAATTTTCCCACATTTGACGTTGACTTTGATTTCTGCCAACGCCAAGTATCAAAACAAAACTCAAAAGTTGAAGCGCAGACTAAGGAGAAGACAGTACGTATGTTGAAGTTACTGAACGAAAACGATGGAGCCAACAAGAGTTGGTGATGGTGTGGTTGGTGGAGGATTTGTCACTGTGTGAGATCATCTTAAATCTCATTTTTCTTATAGGTGGCTTTTAGATATACAACCCTTTTTTTAAAACCGTACCTCAACTTATTAAATTTTGGCCCCGACTAGCGACTGCCCCGTCTCCATAACCTCTCGGAAAATTATCCGAGATATACATAACAGTATCTCAGTCTCACACGCACTCGCCATCATTCAAGTTAAATTAACAATTATTATGATGCGTATAGGAATTATTTCGTAATGTATCGTTCTTTTATTATACATACGAGGTGAACTTGGGTATATATCGATATTAATAGCGCCACCTAGCAAATTTTCGACTTACTACTTGATGGGACATTGCTATCCGTGCCGTAGTGTTACGTAGCGCTGCTGCCAGGTGTCGCTACTAACACCCATTACGCGAAACAGTACGCGGCGTGATGCAATGCTGTGATGCAATGATGCAATGTAATGCTAACATCACGCGTAATGTTAGCATCACGCGTAATGTTAGCATCACGCGTAATGTTAGCATCACGCGTAATGTTAGCATCACGGAGTGATGTTAGCATTACACATTACCCGCGTGATGCATCGCTCGGAAACAGTACGCGCGTGATGCATTACCCGAAACATTACCCGCGTGATATTACCTGAAACAGTACACGTGATGCTTATATTACGCGTGATGCTTAGAACAGA